TGCAAATCTGCAATCTTGGCGGGATCCTCACCGAGAGACCAAAGTGAGCCCTACCCTCTCAAACCATTGCCAACCCCAAAGATCAAGCCGGGTGTAATGCAATTTACTTGAGGAGAGAGAAGGTGAATCCGGGAGTTGTTTCCAAGGGAGTAATTGAGAAGGAAGACTCCAACCCCAAGGATGGAGATGAAGAGCCCTTGAAGGGAGAGAAAAAAGTGGCGAGGAAGACATTGCCAACGCCATCTCCGGTGGTTGAGTACAAACCACCTCTTCCTTTCCCCACAAGGGTGTACAAGGAGAGGTTGGAAGCGGTATGTGGAGGCTTCATAGAGATGCTCTGAAATCTCCACCTCAACATTCCCTTCCTTGAAGCTATGGCTCACATGCCAAGGTATGCAAAGTACCTAAAAGGATTCCTCACCAAGAAACCAAAGTTCGAAGACCTCGCCAACGTGAGTCTAGGTGAGGAGTGCTTAGCCTTCATCCTCAACCGGTTTCCCAAGAAGCGACCCAAACCAGGTAGCTTCATTATCCCTCTTAGTATTGGTAACCATCACATAGAAAATGCCTTGGCGGATTTAGGAACAAGTGTCAATGTGATGCCTTATAAGCTTTTCAAAAGGTTAGACCTAGGTGAACTCGAGACCACTAAGCTTAATTTCACATTAGCCGACCGCTCGGTCATTAATGCTAGGGGCATCATGGAGGACATGTTAGTACGAGAGGGAAAGTTTTGCTATCTGAGGGATTTTGTGATCCTTGATATAAGCGAGGAATAGGATATGCTACTCATACTATGACGTCCCTTCCTTGCCACCGCCAAGGCGTTAATTGATGTTAATGAGGGGACCTTGATTCTAAGGGATGGTGAGGAGAAGATCACTCTTGAAATTGAACTTAAGGCTAGAAGTGAGGATGTGAAGGAGTTGATATCAGATTACTTGTGTTGCTTGTGATCATGTTAAGCAGGAAGTTAAGGAGGGTATTATGCCCAAAGAAAGGAAGAAGAAAGCTTGGAGAAAACGTGAAGCAAGCTTTGGCCCGAAGCAAGAAGAACGGCAAAGCTAAGGTCGTCGGCCAAGAAGGCCACTCCATGGAGCTTAAGTTGGGAGGATAGAAGCCTCGCCCCGAGAACGTGGTAGATCCACTCTCGGTGGCATCATGTTTCAAAACATGATAGATCCGCAACGTCAAGCTAGTGACGTTAACTTAGCGCTTTTTGGGAGGCAACCCAACGTAAGTTTTTTTTTTCTTTTCCTTATTTTCATTTTTGGGTGTCGAATGAAGAGTTCTACTGATTGAGTGGTATCCCGGTTCCACCTTTTGTGGTTTTGCATTTTGAGGTTGTGTCGTGATCGGTAGAAGGCACAGTGGATTAGGTTGAGTCAATTGTTTTTCAGAAGTGGCCTGTTTTAGCTGAGTTCAAGGACGGATTGCCCAGTTCACGATCTTACAAGACCATGAACAGACAAACGCGTCTGTGAACAGGGTACTTCCACGAGCGTGCCAGTTGTCGACAAACCATAGTTCACGGTCGCATTGCTGTGTTCACGGTCTTAACGACCGTGATTTGGAAAACGCGTTCGTGAACTGCCATCGTCGTCTATAAAAGGGGCGTGAACATTGACCCTTCACTTCACGACCAAAAACTCGTCGGAAAATCGTGATTCTCCGATGGTTTTCAAACCATTTCACAAAAGGTAATATCTCAACCTATCAAAATGCTTTGGGGACAAATCAAAGGGCACAAAGTGGCGAATCTCAAATGGCTATTGGGAATGAACACAAGGACCGTTGCAAGCAATACCAACATCCACCACAAACGCATAGAAACGGGCAAATGAAAAGTTCTCACCTTGTTCATGAATCAATGCAAGTTTCAACAAGATCACTTACGAACCACAACTAACCATGCATAGAGTTCAAGTCCAAGGAACAAATGGATGGGCAACAAAGTTCTCACTGGGGTATGATATGACATGCAAAACAAGAATGAATCACTCACTCTCTTGACCAGTGGGGTCGAGACCTTTTGGTGCAAAGAATGTGCACAATCATCAATACTTGGCCCTATTATCTCAGCACCACGGCGGCAACCTCTAAATGCTAGAGTTCACGGAATGGTTATCATCACTAGCTTGTCTGGAGGTCTTAGACAAGGGTTCAAACGACCGTCGATTGTCTTGGACATGGGGAAAAGGCTTTTTGGGAGAATTTTGTGTCTATTGGCATTGACCTTGAACTGTTGCATGTGATCGAGTATGTCCTATGATGATGACTGAGAGGTGCATTAGGATAGTGCAAAGGTTTAGTTCTCATGTGTGCAAAAATGAATGGATGTTTTGACTCGATTACTTGTTTATTACAATTGCCATGCATGTTGCTTTGTGAATTGGAATAGATGGTTGTCTGACTAGGTAGCCATGAGAACTTTGAGCCGATCGTTTTCTTCTTGTGTGCTTAGATCCCTCTTACCATGGCGAGTAACATCACAGTTTTCACTAGTGAGTACGATGGATGCATAGGATTACTCCATGCCCAAATGTTGATTTCCCAGAAATGATTTATCCACTAGTCAACCCTTTTGAGCCTTGCGACTTTGGGGGTCATTCTCATGTTAGAAGCTTTTTGCTTGTGCGCTTAATGGTGCTTGATAGAACGATCCCCCAATCCTTTATTCATCACTATATGTGTGTCGTGTGCCCCGGAGTTCTCGCTTTTGAGTTCTTTTGAGGTTCTACATAGGAGGATTGTGTGCGGTTCTTGCTAGGAATGAAAGTGAAAGGAAGGGTAGTGTTGGAGTGAGTTTTTATAAAGAGAGCATTGATCATTAAATGTATGAGTAGCAAGTGTTTTTCTCTCTAGTACCCCCCTCAAAATAAAAAAGAAAGAAAAAGAGGTAATAAAACGGGGTAAATAAAGTAGAGAGTGCCACTAGGAATCAAAGAGTATGCTCTAGGTGAGGTTTCTTGGCACACAAGCCATTGAAACCTCCACATTGGCTTAGAACTCATTCACTACCAAGGTGAAATGTGATAGCAAGAGTAGACAGAGGAAGAGCGCTTAAAGGAAGTTCATGATGGGTGATAGTTTGGAAGGGAGAAGCGAGGTTTTAGGCCGATGCTAGTGGCCATTGTTTGTAAGGAAGGCTCATAGTCGAGACCATAGAACCTTCGGTTTTTCGGTTTTAGGGCAAAGATGTAGGACCTCTTGATGTGTTTGCCACCACCCAAAAAGCCTTTTAACCATGTCCAAGACAATCGCCAGTCATTTGAACCTGTGTCTAAGACCTCTGGACAAGCTAGTGATGACCACCATTTTGTGAAATCTAGCATTTAGAGGTGGCCGCTATGGTGTTGAGACGATAGAGGGGAGTGTTGATGATTGTGCACATTCTTTACACCAAAAGGTCCCGACCCCACTGGTCAAAAGAGTGAGTGATTCATTCTTGTTATGCATGTCATATCATACCCTGTGATGACCTTTATTGACCATCCATTTGTTCCTTGGACTTGAACTCTATGCATGGTTAGTTGTGGTTGGTAAGTGATCTTGTTGAAACTTGCATTGATTCATGAACAAGGTGAGAACTCATTTTCCCATTTCTTGTAGCCTCGAATGACGTTTGTGGTGGATGTGAGCATTCCTTGCAACGATCCTTGTGTTAATTGCCAATAGCCATTTGAGATTCACCACTTTGTGCACTTAGTGTGTTTTAGGATCTAACAGGTGAAACCAGCCCCGGAGTCGAAAGTTGGATGAAAAGGAGCAAAGACCGGGCAAAATGAGTGATTTAGGACATGTTCACGGTTTCCCATTGGAATTCACTGTCTCCTAAGGCCGTGAACTAGAGCCATAAACCGTCAATCGCGAAGTGTCCATGGAAAATTCAGAGCTTACTGACGCCGAGTGAGTTCACTGATACCAAGACTGTGAAGTAAAGTGAGTGAAGCGGTGTGCTTCGACACAACACTCCGAATTCACGGACACGTTAAAGAGTTCATGGTCGTGAATTGAGCTCGATCCCAGTATATAACGTGAGCTGAAAGGAAGAGAGAGGGGAGAGCCCAAATGTGAGAAAGTACATTCTTCAGATTTGAGAGAGAGAAAGGACGAACCAAAGAAGAAAGGAGGCTAGGGTTTGCTCCAAGTGGTGAATTGGGAATAATCTTCTCAAGAGAAGATCAACACAAGATCAAAGGAGAGTGGAGGCATCGCCATGATGGTTTCTACTTCTTTCTTTTTTGTTCTTCCCCTTTCTATCATGGAGTAGTTACCTTTTCAATTGGGTGTTGTGAAACCTTAACTATTTTCCGTGTAGTTGTTGTGTGAATTGAATGATTGTTTATGGGTGTTGTTTAATTTAATGATTGAGGTATTTTTCATGATGATGTGCATGTTTGTGCTTAGCAATCTAATTGGCCATTATAACCTAGGTTAGAGGGGAAACCCTCCTTTCCAAAGAGGCTCAATTGAGTTGGGATTCCTTGGGCTTTTCAAGCCACCTACCAAGGTTAATGTTGGGCAAACCTCTATCTTGAATTAAACGACTAGGTTAATCGTGATTAAGCCGTCCAACCCTCGGTTTGAGGGAGAAGGTAAGTCAACCCTCAATTGCCTTAACCAAGAGGGCTACTCTAGTAGCCTATAATGTATCCCTTGGTTTGTCAATTGAGAGTGTGGTCTTCGACCATAGTTGCACTTCCTAGCAGTTTACGATTGCCTCGCCCATAACGTCCCATTCGAGTCCACATGCTATGGTAGTAGTTAGGGGGAAGCGACACGCGAGTGATCCTTCTTATCTAGAGCTTTTAAACCATTTGCATTTGCTTTGTTTTAATTTTAACCTCATAGTTTTCAACCAAAAACCAATCCGCTAGATAATGTTTCAAACAATGAAAATAGGGGCCCCCTCTACCAGGCCAAACCCAGCAAGGGAAGCTCTCGCCAAACCCAGCATCGACTCTAAAATTGAGATATCATAGCACTGAAGCATCTAACTCTGGCTGGAAGTTTTCACAACATTTGTTCTTCCGTGCATTTGTCAAAGAGAGGTAAACCAGATTCGTCCCCCACAATCCCTTATCGGAGGAAATGTCTACGTTCAGTGGCGATGAAACAACACTTCGACTTCCTTGGCGTCGCTTCGCTCTAATCTTCCTCGGTGATGAAACAACACCTTTTTTTGGCTTCCTCGGCACCGCTTTGGCTCTCGTCTTTTCATGTTATCCGGATCTCGCCATCTCTTCAGATTTCAGATCCGCGATCAGATTGAAAGATGTGGATCTTTCTTCTAAGCACAAAATTGGACTCTCATTCGATTTGGTAATGGTGATTCAGGTCTGGGAGAAGCCTACGGGATGGCGAAGAGAGCGTGGGAGTGACGTCGATGGGAGTGATGAGGCCGGAGCTGGTTATGAAGTCGATAGTTCCAGTTATAATGGCTGGAGTGCTCGGTATCTACGACATGGTTTTGCTGTCATCATTAGTACCAGGATCAATCCTAAGGCCAAATTGTACTACCTATTCGACGGCTACGCTCACCTTTCATCTGGATTGGCCTGTGGTCTCGCCGGACACTCTGCTAGCATAGCCATCGACATCGTTGGAGATGCCGGTGTCAGGTACCACCTTCAGAGGCCCTTCTAGTCGTGGCAGCCGATGCCAATTATTCAATTTAATTATAATTGTTTTGTTTTATTTATTTTTAATTTATTGTGATAATGAGGTGGCAATTGTAAAAAGTTCTAAATTTTAATTTTTTATTTTATAATTGCCATGTCACTTATTTAACGGTCAACTCTTAGAGTTGACTACCATGTCAGCCAAAGTTAACGGAGACTAACGGAGAGTGACCAAACTTGAAATTATGAACTAATTTAAGTGATTAAAGATGAAATAAAGTAATTCTAGTGGCTAACGTGAACTTTACTAATAATTCAAGTGACCAAACTTGCAATTTAGCCCTTATCTCATGTAAGTTTTATTCTTTTATAGCCAAATTAAACTCATTCCCTTCTTACTTCAACTTTTCTCATTTAATACCATTGGGACTTTGGTACGATGACATGCATGTCACGGTGAAAGCACTTTCGGTCGACTTCATATAGGATTAGGTCGATCTAATATGTTGTTTCAGTGTAAAAACAGTTTCATGGTGCCTACTTTGGAGATTCATATCTTACAATTGGCTAGATGGAAATTGAAGATTAATGGCTTGTTTTAAAGTTGAAGTGTCCCTCTATACATTAAGGGGTCGTTTGGATGAGGAATTCTAATGGATCAATCTGACAAAATTGTCTCGTTTTGAGTAAATTGTGCTAGATTGATCCGTTTGGCAGCAGAAAATTTGGATGAAGTAATTTGGGCTGGGGAATTCTGAATTGACTCATTTTGAGCCAATTACAATTGTCTGGGGTGGGGGCAGGTAATCTGAATTGACTCGTTTTAAATGACTCGTTTTGTAAACCGAAACAATTGGTCAAATTGTCTCGTTTTACAATTGATCCATCCAAACGACCCCTAAAGTACTTGGTAGCACCACAAGAAGTCCAGAAGACCATTTTTGAACCTGATCAAAAGGCTATGCCAAAACTGAGACACTGCCTGAAAATGGCCAAGTCTGGGAACGTGTTTGTGAAGCCTACTTTGGAGCTCAATTTGAGAAGCATGGATGCGATTGAGTCTAGGGGTCTCTACCATGTTAAATTATGTATATTTTTCTACAAAGGCAAGGCATTGGCTGAAAGATTGGATATCTCTAAGGCTTCAAACAAAAGGCTCGAAGTTGCTACAAAGGCTATTTTTCTGGCAGCTTGCTTGTGCTCGAAGTCTGCCAGAAAAACAGCCTTCGTAGCAACTTTGACCCTTTTGTTTCAAGCCTTACAAATATCCAATCTTCATCCAATGCCTTGAATTTGTATAAAAACATACCTAATTTAACCTGGTAGAGGCCTATGGACTCGACTCGCATTCATGCTTCTCGAATTGAGCTCTAAAGTAGGTTTCACAACACGTTTCCAGACTTGGTCATTTTCAGACAGTTTCCCAGTTTTGGCATAGCCTTTTGATCAGGTTCAAAAATGTTCTTCTAGACATCTTATCGAGCTCTCAATCACTTCAATATGTAGAGGGACACTCCAGCTTCAAAACAAGCCATTAATCTTCAATTTCCATCTAGCCAATTGTATGATATGAATCTCCAAAGTAGGCACCATGAAACTGTTTTTAAACTTAAACAATAGATTAGGTTGACCTAATCCTTAATGAGGTCAACCTAATCCTAAATGAGGTCGACCTAATCCTAACTGAGGTCGACCGGAAGGTGCAAGTCACCGTGACATGCATATCACTTTAGGCACACCCTAATTTTTATTCAACTTTTTTATTTAATTTTCTTTCCTTTCTTGTATTGATTTGTGTACTATTAATATTTGATCTTATCTAAGGCAAGTTTTACTCTTTTGTTGCCAAATAAACTCATTTTCTTCTTAATTAAACTTTTCTCGTTTAATAACATTAATTTTTATTCAAATTTTTTATTTGATTTTCTTACATTCGTTGTATTGATTTGTCTAATTTAAATTTACTTACATTTTAAAGTTAAACAATTATTTTAATTAAATATTAATATCTTTTTTCAATATTAATATATTTATATTTTATAAATGGACCCATCTTAACTAGTTTTCTGGCTATGTCCCTGTCTACGACTAAAATATTACCCCTTTATACTCACCTTGTAATCATACCGAAAAGCTTGATCTAACTACTAACTTGGTTGATAGTCGCTCTAAGCTGAACTTTTTTGCCTTTGAATCTCGCCCGCATGCTTCGACCACTTGCTCAAGTCCCAACGCCTAGTACAAGCCATGCAAGGCCATTTACACTATACTTTCCAAGACCTCAACGCCAAAGTAAAACAATGACTTTTAAGGACGAGATCCTGTAGCCCAACAATTAGGAATGTCAATGGGGCAGGTTCGGGGCGGATTTCTTGCAGTGGTGGATCCAGGGCTGGGCCACACTGGGCCCGGGCTTAGCTCTGCTCCTGATATTGAGGTCCTGTAACCACTTTTGGCCCAGTCTTCTCTTCTTCCCTGACCCAAAACTCAACACCTAAACCCAGGTAACAAGAATCCAATTCCCGAAAGTCATCCCTTCCTCTTTCCTTGCGGCCAAAACAATAAGGGTAAATACAATTTAATATCCAAACCTTTTATTTTAAACAATATAATAGCCAAACCTTTTCGAAAACAATCTAATATCCAAATCGTCAACTTTCTGTCTGTTTGACCGTTAGTTGACACTTCAAAAAAGTTCGTAGTACAACACTTCATCAATATCTATCAATATCTTCTCTGAAAAACCACCAACATATCGTAGTTCCAAACCCGAGAAGTTCATTACTCCACCATGATGCTATAGAATATCTAAATATTCAGTCATCTGCAATGCCAAAACAAGAAACAAAGTTGTATTGTGACAATTTCCCCTAAACAAAGCTTTTTTGAAGTGTCAACTAACGGTCAAACGAATGAAAAGTTGACGATTTGGATATTAGATTGTTTTCGAAAAGGTTTGGCTATTATATTTTTTAAAATGAAAGGTTTGGATATTAAATTGTATTTACCCAAACAATAAAGTGAAAATGATCCATTCTTTCTCCACAAGAATGTGTATAAGTTTGTGCTTTGTATTACATAACTATATATGTGTACAAGTTATGTTTGTTGTTTTGTTTAACTACATTAACCCACTGCTTTGTGAGAATGAAGTGCATTAACCCACTATTTGTCCTGTTTTCAATTAGTAAAGAACTTAGTCTTTAGAATTAGGAAGTTAATTGGAAAATTGAGAGTATATGATTATTGTCCTATTTGATTATGTAGATTTGAAGATAATTCATTATTGTTGTCCTTCTCAAACATCAAATAAAAAGGGGAACATTATTTTCTTACTCTAGCGTTAACGTTGCCCGTTTTAACAGCTAGTATGGAAAAATCTTTTTCAAAAATGAAACATGTGAAGATTGATTGTGCAACAAAATGAGCGATAAATTTCTTGCTGGTTGCTTAACTATTTTCTTTGTGAGAGTACGTTATTGGTATTGATGAAAACTGAGTTATTGACAAATTGCTAAATTAAAAGACCGTCTTGTACAATTGACATTTTAATGAAAACTATATTTTTTTTGTTTTTGTTTATGGTATCTAATTTTCTCTTCAAATACGGCCCAATGCTATACTATGTCCTCGATCCGCCGCTAGTTTCTTGGTACTCAAACCCTCCCCGTGGCAGGTTGGGTTTAGGTCGGACAATTTATCATGGGTCCCAGGTCGGGGCAGGTCGACCCAATGGGTATGCAATTTATATGAAAAATATTAGAAATATTCGTTACTTTTATTATGAGACCAAGAAAACAAACAATATTTTGATAAATGTAGTTAAATTTTGAGAAATTGAGGTTTTCACTAATTTACAACTTTATTATAGCTAAATTATGATGTAATAAAAGAAATTACATGTAATTTAAGCAAGAACGGGCCGAGAATGGGGGGGGTTAGGGCAGGTCGGGTCGATGAAAATACCCATGCCCGTCCCGCCCCGCTTACCGGGCTGGTCGGACCCACCCCAAAACAGGCCAAACAGGTCGGGTAAAACGGGTCATGTCTCATCCTACCACCAATTGACATGCCATTACAAATTGGCCACTAGAAAATTTATGCTAACTCTAACCCTTATCTCCCACGCACAAAACTCACCACTCTAACCCTTATTTCCCATGCACAAAACTCACAAGCCTCGTTCTAGTTGTTATTTCCATTAGGAACTCCAACCAAATTCCCTTCCTCAACAATTTATCCATGCTCTAACCATCATTCTCATTCGTGCCATTCACGATGATAACAAGAACTAGTGAATAAGCAATTCCCAAAATTCTCACACGTTTCCATCAACAATTAATCAATTCCCCATTTCCTGCCAACTTTCCATTGTTATTTGTAACCATGGATGTAAGTATAGGTGTCAATCGGGCGGGTTCGGGCGGGTTCGGGCTGGGTTCAATCGGGTTGCGGGTTAGTTGGGTTGCGGGTTCATCGGGTTGTGGGTTCGTTGGGTCGGGTTCAATCGGGTTCGGGTTTAATCGGGTTGCGAGTTAGTCGGGTTGCGGGTTGATCGGGTTCGGGTTCAATCGGGTTACGGGCAAATCGGGTTCGGGTTCATCGGGTTTCGGACCGGGCGGGTTGCGGGCAGATTGGGTTGCGGGTTGTTCGGGTCAACGTATCAAGTTACTTACTCGTTACCAACTTACACATTTTATTACACTAATTTAAAATATTTTTCACCGTTTTTAACCAATTTCTTTCTACCTTCACTACAAAAAAAGATCATCTAATCACGGGAAATCCTGTGTGTCTGAAAGTGTGTTTCCCATGTTTAATTCTTTTAGTTGATCATAAAATAACTGTGAATACAAGAAGGACACTAGAATCATGAATTGCATACAAAGCTAACTGGGTTGGTAAAGAAGCAAATTGGCACTTATCTGACGCAATTTACTTTGCTCGACTTGGCCAAGAAGTTAGAGTGAAATCGAGACCACAGGGACAATATACTGCTCATGAAAACTAGCTTCCAAAACAGAACAATGACTTTCAGTATCTCTAACAGA